AAAGCCTTACCTCAAATCTCAGCTTGGTGAAATCTCATCTGATCAGCACAGGAAAAACAACAACAACAACAAAACAAATATAAAACATATCACCTTTCTCTGCTTTCCTTTGCAGCATTGTTAAATTTTAATGTACATCTTGTTTTTGGAAGTGAGGGGTGGGTGAGAAAGAATTTGTGAAAAGTGAATTCCTGAATTTCTCCCTTAAGATTCTGAATATGGTTTTCGATAAAGTCCAGGAGTATTTTTTAGTTTCTTATTTGTTTTAAACAATTATCTAAATGATTATGATCAGTGGTTTTCAGTGAAAAACACAGCTCCCTAAAATGTACAGTGCTGTGTTCTCTATTCTCTGTTCCTCAGTTTCCCAGTCTTTGCAATGGGAATAGAATTCTAGTTTGACAAGTTCCAAAGCTCTACTTGGGCAATTTTCCTACTCTTAGTTTTCCATGTTACAAGAGGGCCTTATCTAATAATGCGTGTTTGTTCTTTCCTCCAACCCACCCATGCTCCTACCCCAGCCTTCTGCTTTACACAGAAAAACTCCTTCATTCACTTGCTTCAGAAAATAATGTGGAAGTGTCATAAGCTCAAATTGAGCCAGAACAAGAAGAGGAAAGATCTAAGTGAGGCTTCTGTGGATATTGTTTAAAAACCTATGTTTTGCAGTTAAACAACAGAATCCAGTCCTATACTTCCATCCCTCAAACCTGCTGTCCATGAAACACTGGGCAAGTTACTTATCCCGTGCCTGGGTTTTCCTGTTTGAAAAATATATATAAGGGGCCGGCCCCGTAATGCACTCGGGAGAGTGCGGCGCTGGGAGCACAACAGCGCTCCCACCGCGGGTTCAGATCCTATATAGGGATGGCCAGTGCACTCACTGGCTGAGCAAGTACGGGTGACACCAAGCCAAAGGTTGTGATCCCCTTACCGGTCACAAAAAGGACAAAAAAAAAAAAAAAAAAAAAAAAGAAAAATACATATAAGAATAGTACCTACTTTCAAAGAGTGTTCTGGGAATTAAAAGCATTGTAGGGCTTACATAATACTTTTTTCAGTGTTTATTTTAATTGGTCAGCTAAATTTACTTTAAATCTTTACCCTCAAGAAAAGCAGCACCTATGCACTTAGTTTCAGGGGGTGGAATTGCTGCTAGCATAGATACGATATATCTCTTGTTAGCACATGGGGATCTAACTGCCAGCTCATGTGAGGAGATGTGCCCTTTGATCATGATGGCAGGCTAGATCTATTACCACTGAAACACTTGGGTAATATACACAGTGATGCATCTCAGCCTTGGTTAAGTGGATCTGACACAAAAGGATAAAGGGTAACATCTCCATTCTCATTAAGAGGTAACAGATGGACTTCCCTAAAATCCACTTTTTAGCCTAATTTCATCTGCTTAATTCTTTTGTCTGATGAGAAGACATTTGAAAAATAATTTTAAATTGTTCTCCCTGCAATTAATATTTCTTTATCATTATTAGAACCCCCCCCCCAGGGGATTCTGTTATCCTCAATGGTTTTAAATATTATTCTCAAGCAAATACAATAAATTTCCTTTTAATATTATTTTTACCAAAACATTATCTGTGGCTTTGAGAGATAAACATTACTTGTGGGCTAAATATTCAAACCAAGTAGAAAAAATATATATATATATATCTCCAAGCTATTTTCTTAGTAATTCCAATTTTTCTTAATTTTTCTGTGACATTATTATTTTTACTTCCTTTCATGATTTAGAACAAAGTAGCTTAATTATACATTTAAAGTTTCTACATTTATGCCCACCCCAGCTTTTACTGTATAGCTAAAATTTTAAGTTCTCTTTTGTTTTCTCATTCTTGTTGGCTCTGAGAAATGTGCAAAGTTTTTTTTAAAAAATCAGGTTGATATCTAAGTTTTTATACATCAACATTTCTTAAAATTCATCTGAATTAAGCTTGTTATTCGGCCAAAATATGCTTATGTAATTTGTTTATTTTTCAAACTCTGAGTTAAAAAAAAAAAAAAAAAGGTGAGACAATACCCACTGATTTCAAGAGAATAACACATGTTTTTGTTATATATTTTAAATTCTATAAGGTTTATAGACAAGCTGAATATAATCATGTTGGCAGAGGCATGCTGTATTTATCTCTATATGGAGGCAACTGTAAAACTGAATCTGGGACATACATGAGTCATTTCCCTGAAAACAAGAAGAAAATTTTATCTGGTCTACCTTTGATGTTTTTTTTTTTGTATTTTGGGTATATGATATTTATAATAGTAATTAGCAATAGTAATAATAATAATACTCTCTTAAAAATAATCGTAAATAGTTATTTTACTGATCTATATAAAGGCTTGATTTCTAAAATATTTATCATGAAATAACTTTTTAAATATAATCATGTGTTCATTGAAGGAGCTCCATCCTTGCATTTTTTCCACACCATCAACATGGAACCACTTGAATGATCAGCATTCATCACCTTCTCCCTTACTGTTTTTTTTTTTTTTTTAACATATTTCAGCAGGTTCAATTCACCCTCTCATACGTAGCTTTCGGCTGGAAGGAAAACTCCAAGCTTTTTTTTTTTTTTTTTAAACAGGTATTTCAGCAGGTTCAATTCACCCTCTCATACGTAGCTTTCGGCTGGAAGGAAAACTCCAAGAGGAGCAGGATTTTTGCCTATTTTATTCTCTGCTATATCTGCAATCACTAGATGAGTGTTTGGCATATAATAAAGACTCAGTAAATAATTTTTGGAGGAATGAGAAAACTCATGTCTTCCCTGACTGGGTTTGGTACCCTTCTTACTCTGGAATTAACAGCTCATTGTCCTAGACATCTGCTTTTGTATTTGTCTTCCGTACTTGTGTGTGATTCCTTGCAAATGAATCCTTTGTTTCTGGATTGTCTTAAAATGTTTCTTAAGCACCTGCTCTATGAACATTTCTTTTTGCTTTTTAGAATCCAGTACATGATTGCTTATAATTGGGACAACCTTGATGAAAATTTAAGTAAAAGCATCCATCTAATAAAAGAAGTGACATGGATTAAGGTTAACACGACTAGGTTGTATTCAATATATGAGAAAAAAAATAAATGTAATCATTGACTACATATTTTAAAAAAGAAACCTTATTCTTTTGAGATTTTTCTAAAGCCTTAAACCAATCTAAATAGATATAGTTTTTCTTAGAGGTGTAAGATGATAATAGGGCTTCAACACTGTAAATTAGAAATAATTCATGTCTTCTAAATGGGTTTAACACTTCTAATAAAACAAAACCACTAAATGGTATGCTTTATTTTATTTTTCTCTTAATGCTACAAGAAACTACTGCCGGAGTAACACTTTAGAGAGGAAAACAGTACTCCTAAGCCAGCAAAAACACCAAAGTTCCAAGGTTCTTTGTCTATCCACAGCCAGACCTTGGAAAAGTTGAAACTACATAGCAACTTGACTGCACGTTCTTTGCCTGCACTTGAGGTTGCTATAAGAAACAGGCATTCTTCACTCTTGAATCTTCACACGCTCATACAAGAGTTCTTGTTATCAAGCTCCAGAACAAGAAAAAACTGTGCCACTCCTGAATCCCTGGATTACTGTTCTTCATACAAATTAGTCATTATCTCAGAGCTGTTTCCCCTGTTTTTGCATTAGCTGCTAGAAAGCATAGCGTGAATTTTAGGTCCCACATCCCATAATTATCATCTACATTCTCTATGTGGTGTGTGTGCCCGTGAGTCTTTCTTAATGCTGATTTTTATTTCCTCTTCAGATTCCCTTAACCCTAATTCCCTCAAGAATGTGTAGTCTTTTTGAATTTGTGCACCGCTTTGAAGACCTCATCAGGTTCTTTATGAAAAGAGATATTTAGATAACATGCAAAACTTATTTTGCTTGGAAATAAAATGAATATCATGTCCTTTGTGCATGTTTTTTTGTAAAATAATAAGAACTGGTGAGGCAGAATGCAAGATCTTGAAGATAGGATAGTGCTAAATTTCACCAGATAGCTATTGTTTAGAGACTCAAGAATAGTCTCATTAACTGCAAAGAGGCTATGCTCATTAAAAATTAATAGAAAGACTAACATGCTATTTTACCAACCCTGGAAATTCCTCCTCTATAAAAAGCTTACATTTTTACCTGTAATTTATAAAACAAAACAACAACAAAAAAACTTATTGAATTTATATTGAAGATACAATTCTAAAGACCCCATGATTATTGTATAAAACTGATTAAACTATAAAATACAAAACAAAGAATTATCTATAATCTCACCCCTCCAAAATAATATGAATTGGTAGTGTAAAATTTCCTTTTATGTGTTTGGTATGTATTATATGTATGTGTATAATTCAAATATGTGAGAGTAATTGTTTCTATATCATACACATTTTAAACACAACAGTACTTCAAAAAGTTCATGGAAAAATTGAATTAAAACTTTCCACGGACTTTTTGAAGACCTTCATATGCGTGTCCATTTATTTAAACTGTAGTGTACAGTTCTTGAATTCTATTTTTTAACTATCCTTTTATGCTAAATCTTTTCCCATATTTTAAAATGCAAAACATTATTTTAATGGCCGAAAATCGATATAAGATGTAAGAATATTTGGACATAGGACCATTCTACATATCTTGCAAACTTCTGGTAATTTACCACAGTGTCAGTTATTTCATGTTGGGATGATGCATTCAAAGAAAGGATCCTTGTTAACAAGAAGTTCCAATATTCAAAATAGCTAATGGAAACAGGAACCACTTATAATGTGATCAATAGATATAAACTGAAACCAGTCACACTAGGAAGAAATGAACAAACCCAGGCACTTACTAATTTCAGTAGCAATGATTGTTATGTTGTGCCATACACTTAATTCTCGGTCAAGTGGTGTTGCCAGCGTTATCTTCCCATCATCTGCATTAATGTTGAACTGCCTCTCCAGGTCGGTAAAGAAATGAACAAACCCAGGCACTTACTAATTTCAGTAGCAATGATTGTTATGTTGTGCCATACACTTAATTCTCGATCAAGCGGTGTTGCCAGCGTTATCTTCCCATCATCTGCATTAATGTTGAACTGCCTCTCCAGGTCGGTGTGCCGGTCGATGGAAAACCTACAAAACAGACATATCTGTAATCTACTTCAACATTTATATGAGCCATACATTCCACAGCAGACCTTTAATAATCCTTGGAGGGCCATAGTTGTAAAGTCAAATGAATTGGGAAATTCAGTGGCGTCATAATTTCTAAAACTAAATGACTGGATGAGGCACAAGAAACTTAATAATTATTGTCCGAGGAGCAATTAGCTACATATGCAACATGGAGGTCATAAACTGTCATCACTTTCAATACGCAGTGTTTTCAAAAATGGATGCTGATGAAGAGTTAATTGGACGATCCATCACATTTATTGGACAGCTTATAACAATTAGCAGTTGCCACAAAATATCACATTTCTTGGGGAACAATGGTGGTTGATTAGACCAATGAGATTCGAAGTTTAACTGTAAAATTACTGAACAGACATGTGTTTGTTCCAGACATTGTGTATACTCTGACTCTTAGAAGAGCTAAGAAATGTCCAGAGAATTAATTATCAATTTCTCATCATATTCATAAATAAACTTTGCAGGCATTTCTAGGTTCTGCTAATTTTATTATCGCACTGCTATGTCATATATTCATGCACCAACCAATTCCCCAGAGGCCACAATAAACAAGAATCAGTCTAATCGCTGATACTCATGAATCCCAAATCAGAAACACACTACATGGCGATTCGGTTGCAGCCCAGTAATTGCCTGGAACTTCTAGCACAGAAGCTGTGGGAACAAGAACAGGGTATTTGGAAGCTGGCATTAAAAAATAAATGTTATTGTTTGTTTAATTCCTTATTCAAATATGTGTAATGCAGGTCTCAAATCTTGAGCAAACTGAGTCTCTATTATTTATGTACTGCTCTTTCTATGATAATTAGTAAGTTCGCTGAGCCTCAATTTCTTTAGTGGTAAACTATGAAGTACCTATATCCCAGGAGTGGTGGTGAATAATAAAAATAAATCAGTCTCTGGCACTATTAGGTACTAAAATAAGTTTCATCATCAGCATCATCATCAGCATCATCATCATCATCATCATATCATCATAATTATTATTATCTCTCATTAACTGAAAACTTAATAAACTTCCCTATTTACAGGGTGGTGGAGAATGCCCTTCCTTAACAATTTATAAATGGCAGAAAACTAGGAGAAAACGTTTAGGTAAATTTAACTTCCATAACCCTAACAAAGGCAGGGATATTTTTCTCATTTTTTAAAATCTCAGTTCATGACAGACTTTATAGGGTAAGCCATAAGGATTTATAAAACAGGCTATAAACACAGCCATTTAGTGAGATCAGAGTTAAGAATGTCATAATATTACGAGATTACATAATGGAAGTACTTGATGGGAAAGAACTGACTTAGTTTAAAATACAGTTTAAAGTCTACCTCAACTATTTTGAGAAAGTCCTTGTCGCCTGTGTAGACATTTCACACATTTTGTTGCTGAGTAGACTTTAAGGACTCCCAAAAATGGCTAAACAGCACAAAAAGTCTGACTCAACACTATGGTAAACAAGCATGTATTGAACACCAAATTTGCACCAAGCACAGTGTTAGATGCCTTTTCCTTCTTTCATCTTTCTCTTTTTGCTTTCTCATATAATGAATAAAAGAAAAATAAGACTCTTAGAGAGTAGGACATTTTAAGAAACACAACTGGTAAATAGCAGCATCAGAATGAACATGCCTGTATGATTCATTCCTAAGTCCATATGTAAACCAACCACAGAAAAGGCTCACCTTTTTCATGTACAAAATGGAAGTAGTAATATCCCTGAGTCATAGGATTGTTGTTATGATCAGATGAGATGATAAGTGTGGCAAACTTGGCCAACACATATGTGCCAACTACAGTGTATCAGGCACTGTGTAAAGAGCTCTCACTTCCTTTGCATGATAGTGATATTTTTGAATGCTTATGTGTGTATTCAGTTTTTCTGAACCAACAATTGAGACACAGAGTACTATGATTTGAATGTTTGTGTGCCCGCAAAATTCATGTTAGAATCCTAACTCCCAAGGTGATAGTATTAGAACATGTGATCTTTGAGACATAATTAGGATATGAGAGCTCTGTCCTCACAAATGGGATTAGTTCCCTTATAAAAGAGACCCCAGAGAGTTAGCAATCCCCCTACCATCATGTGACGACACAGCAAGAAGTCAGCAGTCTGCAACCCAGAAGAAGGACTCACCAGAACCCAACCACACTGGCATGCTGATCTTGGACTTCCCAATCCCCAGAACTACAAGAAATAAATTAAATAAACTACAATAAATAAATAAAAAGCTTTAATGTTAGCGTTACTTATTGAGAAACAGCAGTAAGTTTGTACTAATAATTCCCTGACCTCTTCTCAGGTCCAAGCTAACACTTCTTTCACTTCTTACTCCCCTGCCCTTAGATAAGTTCATCTGGGTTTTCAGGTCAGTGGAATCGAGCACAGAGAAGACATCGGTTTACATGTCCAAAAATAAAGCTGGGGAGAAAGAGCAAATAGGGGGCTGATACCTCTATTTCTGGAACCATTGTAGGAATTTATTTTTCCATCAACTTTTCTGACCAAAATCTCTGTCCCATAGACTGACCATTGCAGGTTCAAGGGTTTATTAGTTGAATTTTGAATTCATATTGAGTATTCTATGAGCATTTTTTATCATAATTATAAAATTAAACACGTTTTTTAAAAAGAGCATGCCCATGACATTTTTAGCAATGTGTTCAGAAGATACTGCCCCCCACCCCCCCACCCCCCAATCCCCAGAACTACAAGAAATAAATTAAATAAACTACAATAAATAAATAAAAAGCTTTAATGTTAGCGTTATTTATTGAGAAACAGCAGTAAGTTTGTACTAATAATTCCCTGACCTCTTCTCAGGTCCAAGCTAACACTCCTTTCACTTCTTACTCCCCTGCCCTTAGATAAGTTCATCTGGGTTTTCATGTCAGTGGAATCAAGCACAGAGAAGACATCGGTTTACATGTCCAAAAATAAAGCTGCGGAGAAAGAGCAAATAGGGGGCTGATACCTCTATTTCTGGAACCATTGTAGGAATTTATTTTTCCATCAACTTTTCTGACCATTGCAGGTTCAAGGGTTTATTAGTTGAATTTTGAATTCATATTGAGTATTCTATGAGCATTTTTTTATCATAATAATAAAATTAAACACGTTTTTTAAAAAGAGCATGCCCATGACATTTTTAGCAATGTGTTCAGAAGATACTGCCCCCCACCCCCCCCCCCCCCCCCCCCCCCCCC